CTTTTAAGAAGTTGTTTAGAATTCTTAAAAAATGTAAGATAAAATTCTACTTCCCATACATTTCTGTTTGTTAATTTAAAGTATAGCTTTCTGGGGAAAAAAATATTTTCTTCTGAAATAACTAGAAATTCACAGGAGGTGGGAAAGAAATGTATAGGAATGTCCTCTGTACCCCTCTTCCAGTCCCATAAAAAATCATGATTGTTGGTTTTCCTGTGAAATGAGAAATTAAACTTAAGGATCCAAGTAGAAAGTGGGTTGCTTCAGTTCTGGCTCCAGGGTGAAACTGGAGAACAGAGCACAGCTGGCTTCTGATTCACTTGCATGGAAATGGAGAGCCACAGCAAGTGGGGGCAGCAGGGGCATCGGACAGCACACCAACTGTCCAGCCACTCGTCTCTCTCCTTTCAGGGTCCTCCCTGCTCCCATCTCAAAATTCAAAGCAACTGGGTTTAGGGAGAGTGTGAGGCGAGACTCACATGGGTATAGTGTGGTTAGGCAAAGACTTTAGGTTTTGCCCCCTCTTCTTCCCCAGGATGCTAGCCCTTGTCTTTGAAGGCAGCAGACCTACCCCCCCACCAACCCCCCATCCCGCTTTAAAATTAAGGGTCCCTACCCCCACACCAAGGGGGTAGATCACATGCAAGGAAAAATATTTGTTTGGGAGGAGTTGGAAAGAGATACAAACATTTTAAGTCATTTATTTTAAACTAAGCACATAAAATTCTACCAAAGATGCATTAAAAATATTTGAAATTGTACTTTAATTTCATATTTTGTCTAGTTGAGGAGGGAGGTGAAAGGAGAAGAAAGTAAATTTCAATTGCAGAAAAGAAAGGGAAGGAATGAGTGGGGTTGGGGGAGAGTTATCACCCTTAGGTCAGGGGCGGAGTTTCAAGGAGAATTTTGAGTTTTAGGTAAGTTAATGTCTCATGGAAGAGTGAGTTTCAGGGTGTCATGTATTGAAATGTTAATTAATGGGTTAACCATTCATCTGACTTCTTGGACTGCTACAGACATTAGAGCTTCACCCAGCGGGCTACTACTGAGCCACTTGACACCACCCCTCCTCAGGAATCTCCAGGACCAACTTTGTTGAACAGCAGTTACTTTCACATTACTATCCTTCACACACACCCCTATCTCTTTCTCACTCCAAAGAGTGGCACTCAGATCTGCAGTAGGGACATCCCCTGGGAAGTTGTTAGAAATGCAGAGTTACAGGGGGCTGGGGATGTAGCTCAGTTGGTAGAGTGCTTGCCTAGCATGCACAAGGCCCCAGGTTCAATCTGAGCACCACCAAAAAAAAAAAAAAAAAAATGCAGAATTACAGGTTCTGCCCCAACCGACCTTCTGAAACAGAATCTGCTGGTCTCTGTAGTTTTTTCCTTATCCTTTTCCCTTCCAGATTGCCACCTGTCTTGCAGAAGCAAGGCTTAATCACTTGGAGAATCTTACTTCAAAGTCTTATTCCTTTGGTATTTTCTAGTATACCTCAAGGATAGGTTCCGCAGCTTTCTTTGCACACTTTTTCTCCTCATTCCTGTCTTTTTCTCCTCTCATTATTGTGCCATCTCTCTAACTTTAGAAAGATCAGATGACCTGGCTGTGCAAACGCCCCCCCCCCCAACACACACACACCACTCCTTCCCCTCATACCTCCCTCCATCATTCTGCTGTGCCTCAAAATATTCCTGGTCTCTGCCACCCTCTATTCTTAAGTCTCAGATAAAGTACCATCTTCCTTATTTCTAAGCTAGTTTGAAACACTTTCTCTTTTCCCTTCTCAGAGATCTTGCTGTCTTACTAGTCTTCTTTCTCTGGGAATTATTTCTGTCATTTCTACTAAGCCCTTCCTTTTTGCATCCAAAGGTGCAGAGAGATCACAACACACACAGTCATATTACTTGTTCCTATTCTTCTCTGATTTGTAATCTGTTTCACCCCTTTCACAATCAGGTTTCTCACACAAATGGTCTGGAATACTGTTTCCAGGTTGAATGATTTTGCGTCCCGGCTTCAGGGACATTTGGCAATGTCTGGAGATATTTTTGGTTGCTTCAAATTTAGGAAATTCTATTGGCATCTGGTGGGCAGGTAGAGTCGAGGGATGCTATGAGATATCCTACGATGCCCATGACTGCCCTCTCCCCAACAAAGAATTACCTGGCTGGGATAAACAGAGATCACAGTTTGCCTCTGATTTTTCTAGTTACAGCACTGAAAATTCTGTGACTCAGGAAAATTCTTAGTCCTGGGCATAACTGGGACTACTGGTTGCCAAATGTCAAAAGTGTCAAAGTTGAGAAACTCCAGAAGGAAGACCCATTAATTTTACTTTTTTTTTTTTTTTTTTTT